ATCTCTACACAAAAATTGCCAGGGAGTCAGACTACTTCTCCTCTGTACTTCAGCAAATATTTTTTCCCCAAAGACTTTCTTTCCTCCTGATATACACCAATTGAGGTTCTGTATGGTTTGCAAGAAAAACTCATCTGTGTACCTGGTATCATATGTAACTAGATATCCTCCCAAAGCCTCAGGTGCTCATAGGTGGGGCTTTTGGGAGGTGGCTGAATCATATGTGTGTGTGATAATGGGATTAAGGGTCTGCCTTACTGGATTAATCTACTAACAGGGTTAGCATAGCTCTGGGTGTAGTCAAATTGATATATAGAAGAGGGAAGCCCCACCTTGGTTGTGAGTGGCATCAAGCAACAGACTTGTAGCTTGGATGAAATATAAAGGGACAGAAAGAAAGCAAGCTCACTGCTTGTTCCCTCCTGCCTGCACTGCCATGGACTGTTTTTCTTCTTTCATGCTACCCTTCCTTGAAGCCAGCCAATTATGAACTGAATCCTTTATAAACTGTGATCTGAAGTGAACCTTTCCTCCTTTAAATTTGTGTGTCAGCACATGTGTAAATACCGAATAGTTTCTCTGGTGTGAAAAACTATAATAGTACATAAGATCCTAATGAGACAATTGACAATGTGAAATAGGAAGAAAGGGGCTAAAGGTGTAGGGAAAGTGGGAAGGGTAGGGGAAAGGTAATAAGGGAAAAGGAAAAAATAGGAGAAAATGAAAAAATGGAAATAAAGTGTTTTCAAACAGGGAGGGGAGGAGGGGGTGAAGGGAGGGCAGGGACAAGGGGAAAAAATGAGAACCAAGACCTGTCATGTAAAGGTACAAGATCCCAATAATGGATGTAACTGTACTGTATACCTAAAATGTACCAATAAACTCAATTTAAAAAATAGATAAATAAATTTGTGTGTCAGTTATTTTCTCTCAGCAACACAAAAAGTAACTAAGGCAGTACCTATTCCTGTTTTTAATTTTCACACAATGCACCTGTTTTCCCACAGCAGTATGGATGAACATTAGACTGACTGGAAAGCTTTTAAAACATGAATGCCTGGGCTGCCTTCCCGAAGACCATGATATGATTTATCTGGGGTTATTCTATGTCATGAGTGAAATGACTTAAAGCTCTACAGGTGATTCTGATCTGCAATGTTGATAACCTCTGCTTTACTGTATGTATTTTTGATCACACTATATTTTGAGGTTTTTTTTTTTTAACTTTCCTCATGGATTTTCTAGCACTTGTTTTCAGAGACTATTCATATCCACCCGATTCATATGTGAATTCCAATGTCTATGAAACTTGATCTATAGACTACTGGTATACAAGTGCTCTGTGAGCCACTGTGGAAGATCCAGATTTCAAAATCATCATCTCTTACTCACAAGAAAACCACCAATTATGAAAATGTGAGATAAGAAAAAAAGTCACCATTATTGAAATCTACTAAGGCTACTATGGAAATCAAAAATTAAGGGAGAAAGGCAAGCTATCTTAAGAAGTAAGGAAGGTTTAATGATGATCATGGAATTAGGAGATACCACTTGTAAAATTTTGAGTAGAATTGTAGAGATGGTTTTGACAGAAAAAAGGAAAATGTTAGGGACATGAGGAGACAGGAGAATTTCTCATGAAACAAAACAGAGCGAAGAAAGGCCTAGTGGAGGAAATGTGTTAGGAAATGCTTCTATAGATGGCGTGTAAGAAGGAACTACCGGAGAAGTGGATAATGAAGGCAGAGAGCTGAGAAATCACAGACGCTTTGAATGTTTGGTAGATAAGCACAGACTCCTTCAAAATTTCTGAATAAAGGAATAATACACTCAGATATTTGTGCTTTTAAAAGATCAGTCTTCTTGACTAGCTTGTTTTTTTTTAAAGTACATTTGTACACGATCTGACTTGCATTATAGAGTAAGTACTACAAGAAAGATTTTTTAGATGCTAAATAAACTTTTTCATTATGTGGTAAATGTATTCATCAAGAACTAGAGCACTAAGGAACAGAAATATAAATTATCATCTATTTTCAGATGATAATGTATTTCTTTGCTCAGCTGAGAAGAAAATAAATGAAGATTAAATAGAATAGTGACGGTGCTAGTTTCCCAAAAATGTGGCCTAAAATACTTTATTTTTTGGGGGGAGCAATATTTCAAAAGAAAGAAGAGACAAAGAAAAATTCTTTCACTTAAGGTGATTTTCTTTATTGAAAATTGAATTATTTACTTCAAAATCCAAGACAATAACTTCATAGTCAGATTTACTTCTCTATATTGGCTTTGACTGAGAAATGCAAATTTTGTTGCTTAAAGTATCTGTGGAAAAAAATATTAGCATGGTGTAATACTTGTTTGGAAATTAAGTCTTTCGTTAGGGCAGCTCTTAATGGACAGGCCAATATGAAATTCACCTCTATGTTGCCTCATACATATTTGACCTATGTACTTCCTGATGGAGCCACGTTAAATTAATTTTAAAATATTTTATTGCATTTTACAAATAATAAAAAAGCACTTGCACATATAACACATAATAAAAAACTGCAATCACTATTCACAAGCACAAGTTACACTTTTCTCTTACTTTTAACTTAAATTTAATCCTAGATCTGTGAGTGTGGGTGTGTTTCTATGTAATTTCACAGTGAGGAGTGAAAAGAGTGGAATTCAGATATTTACACAGACATTAAACCTTAAGAAACATTACTCAGGGTACAATTACACAACTCAACATTTATCTTTGCCAATAGTATATCATGATATTTTATAAAATTGTATAGTTTTGTTCCATGTCTCATCTAAAATACTAATACCTTATGTTCAATTCTAGGTGCCCTGTGTATAGAGATTTTAGTCTTTTAATTATATTATCGATTTTAAAATTTGATTGAAAAACAAAACAAAAATAAATGAATTCTCAAGGCTCAGACTTCCAGTTCCAGACAAGACAGAATAAACGTAATCTATTTTACTTGTGCTAATCACAATAAAACACTCTACACTAACCAAAGAAGTCATGTCAAAAGACTCCAAGAGACGAAGGAAGCGGGTAGGTTGGCCAGGGGCCTGATCACTTATGAATCCCTGTGATAACAAGGTCCATGTTTGTTTGCTGTCTTGCTTCCTGTATGCCCCAATGTGGCTTCCAAAGAAGCCTTCACTGCAGCGAAATGTCAACATCAACAACAGCAACACAGCACCCAAAACCATGCGTGATGGTACAAGCTTGTAACCCCTGCACACTGTGAGGCTGAACCTGGAGGACTGTGAGTTCAAGCCCAGCCTAGGTAATGCTTAAACATAATAATAACAAAAGCGCTGATGATGTGGCTCAGTACAGAGCCCCTGAGTTCACTCCTAGATAACACACACACACACACACACACACACACACACATACTCAAAAACAAAAAACACTGGGAAAAGATGATAAAATTTAGCCTACATCTTTTAATCAAATCTACTTGTTCTGGGAGTGAGGACTGCAAAAAATTCATGTCCCTCCTTACTAACGTAAAATACAAAAGAATGTCGGTGAGAAACATTTGTCCTGAGTAGCGAAATGTTTGTTTTCCATGATCTTCTGCTTCCATTCTCACTTCACTAGAGGAAAAAAAAATTCTCCCTGGTGGTGTCTGTGGTTTGAATGGTTTGTGATTCCCATGAAGTAAACTGGAGATTCATCTTCCCGGGAATTTTGAGTTTGGAACTCTGATTTTACTCACCACTGCAGTAAGGCAACAGAAACATTTTCTAGAGTAGAAAAGCGTGGGGGAAAGGTATGACTATTAAGAACTGGCCTGAGAGTTTCTTTGTGAAGATGGAACAGTTCTATGTGATGATTATGATAATGACAATCTACACCTGCATTACCATTTCATAGAAATGCAAACCACAGGAACAAAAAGTAGAGAGAAATACAAATAAGAACTGTAGTCGAGTTAATAGCATTGTGCCAAATTCAATACTTTAAGAAAAAGAGAAAGAAAATCAATATATATGTAATTTATATAATAGCATGTCAATTATTCAATTCTGACTTACTTTAAATGTTTTCCTCATGAACGTCTGGGCACCAAAAAAGCAAATGTTATATGTGACAAATATGATCAAACTTTAAGAAGTTCTGCTTTCCCTGCTCAGACAGATTTTCTAATGCTATTACTAAACTACCTATGAATAAGAATGACTCTTTTCTGCCTCTCAAAATTTGAGCTCTTAATCTAGAAAGAGTAACTATTTGAAAATGGAAGTTATTCTGCACAGCTGGATAATGTTCATTATGGTTGGCATTGAGAGTAGTTATAGCCAGAGAATAGCACAGGGTAAGGCCATCTGGACAAGGCATGGAGTGGGGGTAAAGTATGGATGTAAAAGCCGTATAAGGCAATAGACATAAGTGCTAAAAACTACAATCTGAGGAAGGATGTAATAGAATTATAAATGGCAATAATGCTTGGTTTTTGTGCCATCCCTTTCCTTAAAGAATAGAGAGTTTTGTCATCACTGCCTTGACTGTGTTACGTAGGGATGTCTCTTTTACAAATGGCACAGCTAAAAGATGCCTCAGGCCACAATGGAGATCACTAGTAGGGTCAGAGTTATAAAATAGGACCAATGTTTTGTATGAAGTGTCTGTCTTCATAGTTAAATTAGATGAAGTCAAGAGGCTAAACTCTGAACACTATTCTTGAGTGAGCAATAGCTGCTTCTAGAATATCACCTCTTTGTAGCATGGCTTTCAGCACAATTCTCTGCCAGCACAGAACTACTCAATAAGCACACTATTTAGGGATTTCCTTTACTTTTAATTTTTTCTCAAGTAGTTCAGAGAAATTCAAGAACCCTAAGTTACCTAATGGCTTAGAAATAACAAGAGCCATTCATTATGCTGGACCAAGGTTCTTTATCCTAATCTTGTCTACAGATTCATTAAAAAGGGAGGATAGTATCTTTCAGGGAATATGCTTTTCCATTCTGTCTTTACTTACTTTCTTCTCTCTGTTTCAAATCTATGGAGCAGTTTCCGAAGACCACCATTCTTAAATCCCTGAAAATGGGCTGCTGGGGCTCCCACTGTGATGACATCATACAGAGCATCTGGAAGAGGAACAGACAAGGACATGAAGCCTTCTCAGACATCAACTGCATGCTGTTTGCACTCAAGCACACATACTGTGGGAAGTTGGAGAAATTATTCTGTTTAAATTGGTAGGAATAAGTATGAAGTCTTGTCTCTAGGGGGTAAGAGGAGCTAATCAATCTTCCTAAAAGCCACCTGGGTACCTAAACAAGTTATAACATTTTCCTGATTTATGAGTACATCTTAATTATATGCTACAGTGTAGAACAATATGTTTTCTCAGTCCTCTCTCTACTTACTGAGATAACATGTTAATTGGTCTTTTGTGTATTTTACTTTATTGAGTTTTGCATCATTTAATTTGCAATCATATTGAAATTCAACAATAATGAACAATCCTTCAATCACATTTTATAGAGAGAAGATTCAAAGTAATGCAATTTGGCTCAAGGGCAGAACAATACTAGGGCATTTAAAAAAATCTATACAAGTCATTTCCTACTTCTGTATGTCTTACACAATTTCAAATGCATACTTCTGCAATTTCCTCACAGGATATGGGAAAAATACACAAAATATCTCTTAATTTATCTTGCAGTCAAATACTTTGTTTTTGTAATACAGCATCCATACATTTAAATTGAAACACAATCCTTTGATCTTTAAAGCCATCAGGTTTCATATATATTAACTGTATGATTCAAAATATGTCATCATTTTTACATTCTAATGAAAAGTATCCCCATAAGGATGAAGACAGAGTGAATGCCCTCTTGTTAAACTATGTTTTATTTGAGAAGCCTAATTTCATAGTAGATCCTTTTCAAATTGATATACCGATTGTTTTTCTGAAACTCATTTTTCCAAGAAAACATGAATTATTTTGTAAGCCGCAGGTAAACACCAAATTTTTTTCAGAGTTTTTCAATCCAGATATATCTGAATGATCTTTGCTAAAGAAAAACATAAAAAACCAAAACAACAATAAAATATATCTTTGAATGAATAACTTCACTAACACTCCAAATCTCAAGTTCAGAAGAAATACAATACTACTTTGCAAATCAACCTACAATATGGCATATGGTAAAAAAATTAATTAATGGATCTCTATGATAGTAATCTTTTCCCATTTAAAAATCACTAATAAACTAGGAATCACATTTTTAAAAGACAGTAGAACACTAGATTTACAAGAAATTTATTTTTTAATTTTTTTCATTGAGTTTATTGGCACATTTTAGTTATACAGTACAGTTACATTCATCATTGGAATCTTGTACCTTTACATGACAGGTCTTGGTTCTCATTTTTTCCCCATACTCCTGCCCTCCCTTTACCCACTCCTCCCTTCTCCATTTACAAAAACTCTATTTCCATTTTAAGTATTTCCCAATCCACAGCAATTCAGCCTACAGCTAAGGAAAGTGTTTCAGAATGACTCTGGGTATATGTAGATTGTAGAAGTGTACCTGCTCTATTTCATGCAGAGGGACATGGCTAGCTCAGTCATGAGGTCACTCCAAAGTTACACAGATAAATTCTAGTCTATCTTGATGCATCCCATAAAAAGCCTGAGCAGTTCACCACTTTCCACTTTCTCTGTAGCTCCCAAGGCTTTACACCTCTGTTCCTCTGACTTCTCACCAACAAGGGAGAGCCAGTGTGCCTGAGGTTTTAAATCAGTAGCTGAAACCTGAACCCCTTGGCCTGGATCCAAGCTCTGCCACTTACAAGTTGTGTGATCAGAAGATTATTTAACTTCTCTATGTCTCAGGGAGCTACAAAAACTAGAGTTGAAAATACGGGAGTTAAAAGTGATCATTACTCAGTAAATATCTATAATTATTTTCTCTATACAAAGTAAGCTCACCAAAGAAAGGTGATTTTTAACTTTAACTCATTTCCCCATCCAGATAGACATTTCCATTTGAAAGGGAAGATGATACTGAGGTTCATTCTTCTGAATACAGTCAGCTGTTAGGTTAATGCAAAGTAAATGCAAAATAACAAATCATCAAGCATTGCAAATGATCGGCAGTATTTTTGTCAAAACTCAGGTAACCAAAAACACTAAAAGTATACAAGAGTGACCAAAATCACTATTTCATCTTAAGAAGAAAAGAAATGTTGATATTTTATCAGGGATGAAACTTCAGGATACTACACTGAGTAAAAGAAGCTTGTCAGAGAAAGGTAAATACATACTCCATTTATTGTGCATGAGGCAATATAAAACAGTCAGACTCACAGAATCAGAGAGTATCATGGTGCCAGTCAAGGGGAAGTAGGAAATAGAAAGTTCCTTAAAAGGTCATAAAGTTTTAGTTCTGGGAGATGAACAAATTCTACAGAACTGTTTTACAACAATATTTATTGCATACTCAAAGTTTTGTTAAGATGGTAAATCTTAGGCTAAGCCTTAAGACAGTACAACAATACCAAAACCAAAAGGGACATTAAGGACACTGTCAGAGGTGACAGATCTATTACCATGATTGTGGTCATGATCGCATGTCTGTATAGCTATATCCAAATTTATCAAATGTACATATCAAATATATGCCATTCTTGTTGGTCAATTTATACAGTGTTATGGCTTGTATCTGGACACCCCACACAAATACACCAAAGTCTCATGTGGTCATAGGTGGGGCTTTTTGGAGGTGCCTGGGTCTAGAGCATGTGATGCTGGGATCAAAAATGTGATGCTGGGATTAATTCATGGTGCAATTCTGGGACTCAGGGCAAGTACCTTGGATAAAATACAGGAAAAAGAAAGAGGGCTGTAGTTGTTCCCTGCCTGCTGCTTGTCACTTGTTGCTTGCTGCCTTTTGCCTGCCCTGCTTCACCATGAACTGTTTCTCCTCTGTGATGCCCCTGTGCCATGCCACCTTATTTTGGAGCCAGCCAACTATGAACTGAAACTGTAAGATAAATAATTTTTTCCTCTTTAGCATTGGGTGTTGGGTATTTTGTCTCAGCAGCAAGAAAAGTAACTAAGATATATTAAGAGACATGATAAGTTAAGAGATAAAGCTGAAAGCTGAATATATATATATATACATATATATACATATATATGTATATATATGCATATATATATATATATATATATATAATATATCTATCTATGAATATATATATATATACATATATATACATATATATGTATATATATGCATATATATATATATATATATATATATAATCTATCTATCTATCCATCTATCTATCTATAAATCCCTCTCAATTCAAGCTAAATGCATCTTTAATTCAGTTCCAGAGACAACGGTCTATCTCCTCTCCCTGGGACTTAAAGAAGCCTGTGACCTCTCTAGCACCACACAACAAAAAGGAAAAGATGAAGAAGGGAAACTTGATTAGAAAGAAACATAACTCTTCACTGGTGGAGGTTTAAAGTACTTAATTTTGCAAAATTTGCTGACATTTGTTTACAAATATGTTGCTGGGATTCCTTGCAGTGCCTTGTAAGGAGAACATGCAAATGAGATAGTAAATCTATCTCTCCAAATTATCCATTTCCAAAGCTACTTTCTAGGAACAGAAACTTTCTCTTCATCTATCTTCCTAGAATCTACCTCCCTATGAAGTAGCCAAGGGACTCCTACTGCAGGTAAGTGAAGAGAAAGAACTTGCTTGAATCATATTAACTGATAATAAAAGCTGATCATTTTTATATCCAAAGGAAGTAGTTTGCGTTTCTTAAATCACCTGTGAATATAACTCTTAAAGTTATTAACAAGCTTTCTGTAAGTTCTGGTCTGACTTTCTTCTTTTCTGTTTTCTATTGATTAACTTATCCCTTATTAGTTTTGATGTATGGTCATTTCACTAAGGCCTGTAGAAATAAATCCCCATTGCTAGCCGGTTCTGGTTTCCTTAAAATTAAATAATTCAGCGTGTAACCATTTCATAGTGTCAATCCGCCTATTACACATGACTTCTTTTCTTGTCCCCAACCAGCTCTTCCTCCCTTGCTCCTCGTAGCCAGTGCAGCAACATTAAGCCTCCCAGGGTGGTCTCAGAATCACCTGTAATTCTTCCCTTTCCCTCGTCACTATATATCATCATAAATTTGAAATATTGATAAAAGGATATTCAGATACCTCAATACCATATCCAGTACATAAATAATCAGACTCCAATTTGTGCTTGCCTCCATCCTCCAGTATTTTCATAAGCTCCAAAAAAGTAGAAATGATAATCATGCTCAAGGGTATATCCTTTGTGCTTGGCACATAGGAATAGTCATCATTTATTGCATTACTAACTATTGTCTGGCTGCAATGAAATTTTTATATCTTTTGAATATTACTTTGAAATGTGTACATTTTGCCCTTGTATTGGGGAGGTTGGTTCTGTGTTCACTTCCTTCCCATTTCTTTATGGGTCACCGAAATTCCACTCTTTCATAATCAAACTCAGTTTCTTCCATCTCCTTGAATCCTTCCTGAATATTTTAGCAAGAAATAACATTTTCCTTTCTCCCTTTTTCCCTCCGCCTACCATCCCGCTTTTTCTTTCACTGGAGACCAAACTGAGGAATTTGCACAGTGGCGGGACACCTGCCTTGCAAGCAAGCACAAGGTCCTGAGTCCCATCCTGGTACCGCAAACAACAAAAACAGCAAAAAGAGCAACAACAATAAAATTTGTTTGCATAGAAACCCTAGATACTTATTTCTGCAGTGGAGATTTTTCAGGGATGACATCACAAAGGAGACTAAACACCTACCAATTTGTGATTTCAGAAGCCAAACAAAAACTTGTAATTCACAAAATCAAGATGACTAAACTGAACTGCATTTTGTTTTCCTGCTCTTTACTCATCACAATCTAAAGACCCATTGAACACGTGCTACTTTTGGTAAAATTTTTAAAGTCGGACCCCAAAATTTATTATTAAATTTGATTTAATTCTTATGTATCAGGCCTAAAAGTGTACCACAATACCTCTCAAAAATGAACACACTTAAGTTATAAAGCAAAAAATT